AGATAGAAAGAAAAGATAAGGAGCAACATGTTATATTGCAATGTTTAATTATTTCTTTTAGAAATTGATATATGATAAGTGCAAAAGTATAGTTATTTTGTATATACTTTTTGTTACACTTATCGACTCTTGGTTGTTAATATCAGTTGAATAACTCAACTTTGTATATAAATACGTTTAGTTTGTGTATAATGCGTTTTCGTGTATAAAGCGTTTGTTGAAATTGCTACAAATTTCTAGAATATTCTAAATATAATATGTATGGTAATGGTAGAATACCCTAGAAACTATAATGTGTATGAGTATGGTAGAATAATCTAGAACTATAAGTGTATGTAAAAGATAGAAGAACCTAGAACTATCATGATACTAACATATCATGAAAACTCTAGAAAAATCTAAAGTAATGTAGAAACATTCACCACCATTGAGAGGTTAGTGACTTGAGCCTATAAATAGGCATTTGGTATCTTGTAATGTATCATCCAAGAAATCAATGACATAACCTTCTTTCTAAACAACTCTTTAAAACTATCTTCTATCAACTACACCATTACTAATAGTGGTATCAGAGCTACGTTCGGTCATACATTGGGCGTAGTTAAATTAATACATATCATTTCAAATTCCTCCAAACTACTTCAAAAATTTCCTTTGTACTATTAAACACTCCAATATTTTTCTAAGACATGGATAACACCACTCAATCATCAACTATTTTTGTCTCTATTTTCAATGGTGAAAATTTTGATTTCTGGCGTGTTAAACTGGAAACATTTCTTCTTCTCAAGATTTATGGGACATGGTAGAAGAAGGATTCATTGTTCCCGCAGATACTTCAGCTCTTAATGCAGCTCAAGAAAAAGAGTTGAAGAAAAATAAACAGAAAAATTCAAAGGCATTGTTCACCTTGCAACAAGCGGTAACTGATACAATTTTCCCAAGAATTATGGGAGCTAAGACTGTCAAAGAAACGTGGAACACCTTGCAGGAGGAGTTTCAAGAAAGCGTTAAGGTACGTGTTGTCAAACATCAATCTCTAATAAGATATTTTGAACTATTCAAAATGAAGGAGTCTGAGACAGTTAAAGATTATTATTCTAAAGTTAAAGAAATAGTTAATCAAATGAGAGCTTTTGGAGAAGACATTCTTGACAAGAAAATTGTTAAGAAAATTCTAATTACTATGTCCCCAAAGTTTGATCCAATCGTGACAACGATTGAAGAAACCAAAGATCTGTCCACTCTATCAGTGACAGAACGTGTGGACTCTCTTGAAGCATATGAGCAAAGACTGTATAGGCATAAAGAAGATAATACACTTGAAAATGTCTTCCAGTCAAAGCTCAAATTTCATTCCCAAAATAAAGAAAATGGTGGAAAGAAAAATTATGGAGAAACTTCAAGAAGAAGAGAAGGTTCTACGAATTTCCTTAAGAATAAAACAGACAAAAATCCTCCATGCATTATATGCAAAAGACTGGGCTATGGAGAAAAAAATTGTTGGTTCTGTAATATGGCATGCAAGCATTGCATGAAGTTTGGGCATGTAGAGAAAAATTGTCGCAACAAAAATAGGCATCAAGCTAATATCGCAGAGGAGAATGATCAAGAACAATGTATGTTCTATGCCACTCAAGACTCAATCAAAGAAAAAGGAATAAGTTGGTACTTGGATAGTGGATGTAGCAATCACATGGTCAAGGATGAGACCATTTTCAAAAGCATTGACGAGTCTTTCAAAGTCAAAGTTCGATTGGGAAATGGCAGTGTGGTTGAATCAAAAGGAATAGGCATTGTCATGGTGGAGACAGATAAAGGTATGCAACTCATCCATAATGTCTTACTAGTCCCCAACCTTAAAGAAAATCTTCTAAGCATTGGCCAAATGATGGAGAGAGGCTACACACATCACTTTGAAGGAGGAGTGTGCAAAATCTTAGACAACAAAAATAAAAGGGCCGAGATAATCCAAGTGAAGATGAATAAGAGCAATAGAAGCTTCCTGCTAAATTTAAAACATACAATTAACATTGCCATGAAGGTACAAGTTGATGATTCATGGCTCTGGCATCAAAGATTTGGCCACTTCAACACACATGCCTTAAAGTTGTTATATCAGAAGAACATGATGAGAGATTTTTCAAGCATAAAGGAGAACAATGAAGTGTGTGAAGGATGTCTTCTTAGTAAGCAACACCGATTTCCATTCTCAACAAGCGGAGCATGGAGAGCAAAAGATCTGTTGGAGCTAATTCATATTGATGTCTGTGGACCGATAAGGATGCCATGACACGAGAACAACAGGTACCACATACTCTTCATTGATGACTTCTCTAGAATGACATGGGTCTATTTCATAAAAGAAAAATCAGAAGTCTTTGGAGTATTCAAAAATTTCAAGGCCCTTGTTGAAAACCAAGGTGGAAAACGGATAAAAGTACTAAGAAGTGATCGCGGCAAAGAATACACCTCCCGCGAGTTAGACAAATTTTGTGAGGATGAAGGTGTAGAGCGACAACTTATAGTCGCATATTCTCCTCAACAAAATGGTGTATCTGAGAGAAATAATCGCATAGTTATGGAGATGGCTAGATCGATGCTCAAGGAGAATGGACTTCCTAACATATTATGGGCTAAAGCAGTCTACACTGCTGTTTACATATTTAACAGATGTCTAACTAAGTCAGTATTAGATAAGACTCCAATTGAAGCTTGGAACGAGGAGAAGTCATCAGCAAAGCACCTAAGGGTCTTTGGATCTATATGCTACATTCATATTCAAGACGTGAAGAGGCACAATCTTGAAGAGAAAACTATACGAGGTATCTTCCTGAGGTATAGCACAATCTTTAAAGGCTACCGTGTCTACAACTTACAAACTAAAAAACTCATCATCAGTCGAGATGTTGAAGTTGAAGAGAATGCTTCTTGGAATTAGGATGAAGAAAAAGTGGAGAAGAACATCCTTATACCAGCTCAACTACTTCAAGAAGAATATGAGGAAGAAGGCCCAGGTGAACCTTCTTCACCTCCACCACAACAACATGATCAAGAATTATTATCACCAGAGTCTACTCCAAGACGAGTAAGATCTTTGATGGACATATATGAAACCTACAACTTGGCCATACTTAAACCTGGAAGCTTTGAAGAAGCATCAAAACAAGAAGTGTGGGTCAAGGCAATGGAAGAAGAGATAAAGATGATCGAGAAAAACAACACATGGGAGTTAGTAAATCGTCCCCATGGAAAAAATATCATTGGGGTTAAGTGGGTCTATAAGACAAAGTTCAACCCTGATGGCACCATACAGAAACACAAGGCAAGGTTAGTAGCTAAGGGTTACTCACAACAACCTGGGATTGACTACAATGAGACATTTGCACCAGTAGCTCGTCTTGATATCAGTAGAGCTCTAATAGCTATTGAAACACAAAGAGGATGGAGTATCTAGCAACTAGATGTCAAATCGTCCTTCCTCAATGGTGTACTTGAAGAAGAGATCTATGTTGAGCAGTCATAAGGATTCATTGCAAATAAGAGTATATTTTGTAGTGTCTTTCTATCCCTACTATTTTAAATTACTAGCAATATATTTCTTTAACTTCAATTTCCACTACACTTTATTATTCAAAACATTACTAATACGATCTTACTTGAGAAAGGGAAAATTTTCATGATTTCCAAAAGTCACAATTCAACCTCCTCTTGTATTTTAGGTCACTTGTTCAACAAATATATCATATTTGCAAGGTCAGTCATCTCAAATATATTCATTAGCATCTTCTTGAATTGGTTTATCTCAGAAGTACACCTCCCCGTCAGTAATATATCATTCACATAAAGACCTACCAGAATCATATTGCCATTAGAAGTATACTAAACATATACACCATAATCCATCTCACATTTTCTGAATTCTTGATGCTTGAAAAATGAATTAATTTTCAAATTTCAAAATCTAAGAGCTTGTTTCAGTCCATACAAGATTTTATATAATTTGTATTCCATTTTTTCCCGATTCTTTTTCCCGAATCCAGGAGTTAAAAAAAACTCGGCAAAATGAGTTAAAAGCTATTTCATATATCGTTTTTTAAAATAACGTTATTGTTAATTTTATTGTGGCTGACATATCTCTATTTTTAATTTAACTTCCTCTCCGTTAAGGGCGTAATTGTTCAACCTTCCTTCCTTTTTTACACTATCCAATATTATAAAAAGCACCCTCTTGCCTCCTTTCAACCCTAACACATTATCTCTCTCTCTATCTCTCTAACAAGTGATGAGATTTGGTTACAAACTCCCTTACAGGTTTCGATTGGAATCATGCCCATACTACATTTTTTTGTTATTTCAAGAGCCTGTCTCTTTAGCAAAAGAAGATTCATTCAGGAAAGAGATAAACATATTGGACTAGTTGATAAATAAGAAGTTAATTGTTGAAGTGACAAAATGATGTAAATTCAACCAAATATTGTCACTTGACCAAATTCAACGCCAATCATCACTTGACCAACTAATAATTGTTAAGATTGTTATTATTTGGTTATAGTCTGCATTATCTCTATATTTTCTCATAATTTAATATATGTTGAGAGTATAAGGAGTTGTATAAAATTTAAAACTAGTTATTATGATACTTGAGAGAAAAGTCAAATAATAGAGACAAATGTACATGAAGACTAAAAATGGACAGAAAGTTAAGTTTGTGGTAATGAAGAAAAGCTCACTACATGATAAGGTATCAAATAGACCTTGTTACATAAAAGTCCTTGTATGAAATGCATGTGATCAATTAATACAAGAGAGATCAAATCAAATTGCAGATTCTACTATAAGAGTCAAGAATCAAATTGCAGATTTGTCGGAGTTGATTTAACTAGTCTCTCCATTGGGCTGACTCAAGTTCACTAGAAAACATTTTCTTTAGTATAAGAACCACCTAGTATGTGTCTAGCTTTTCATCCAAACTTTTCAGTTTATAATATTAAGATACAATGGTCTTTGTGCCCTGTCTTGTTTTGTCAGCTCAGTTTCTTTTCCTTTATTCACTCTTGTCTTTCACATTTACTACATCTTTTCCTTTAACTCACCCAAAATGTCTTGAAGATGAAAGTCATGCCTTGTTGCAATTCAAGGAAGGCTTTAACATCAATATGACTGCCTCTTGGAATCCTTCCAGTTATCCTAAGACAGCGTCCTGGAATGCAAGCACCGATTGCTGCTCTTGGGATGGCATTCAATGTGATGAGTACACAAATCGAGTGATTCACATTGATCTTAGTAGCAGCCAACTATATGGTACAATGAATGCAAATAACACTCTCTTTTCCCTTACACGCCTTCAAAGTCTTGATCTTTCTGACAATGACTTCAATTACTCTCAAATCCCACCCGAGATAGGAGAGCTTTCACAATTAAGATATTTGAACCTTTCTCACGCAACCTTTTTTGGCGAAATTCCACCACAAGTTTCACAGCTGTCCAAGTTGTTATCTCTGGATCTAAGCCTCCATGCTACAACAATTCTTCAAAGTAGTAGAGTCAATCTGCTGCAACTCAAAGAATCCAGTCTCAAAAGCATAATTCAAAACGCAACAAAACTTGAAATACTTCGACTTAGTTATGTGACTATTTTATCCCCTTTACCAGAAAAACTCACAAACCTAACTTCATTGCAAGTACTATCTCTTTACAATTCTGAATTGTATGGTGAATTTCCAGCTGGAGTATTTCATCTTCCAAACTTGAAATTTCTGGATTTGAGATATAATTCAAATCTCAATGGTAGGTTGCCTGAGTTTCAGTCTAGTTCACTTACCGTACTAGGACTAGATGAGACAGGTTTCTATGGTACACTTCCAGTATCCATTGGAAAGCTTAGTTCTTTAAATATCCTATCAATTTCAACTTGCCATTTTTGGGGGTATATTCCTTCTTCCTTAGGCAACCTCACACAACTCATGCAAATAAACCTTCAAAATAACAAACTTAGTGGTGACCCTTCAGCATCCCTTACAAATCTTACCAAACTAAGCAAATTGTTAGTTGGTCATAATGAATTTACTTTCGAGACTATCTCATGGATTGGTAAGCTCTCATCATTAACTGTCTTGGAGATATCCTCAGTCAATATTGGAAGTGACATCCCATCATCATTTGCAAATCTCACCCAACTAGAAACATTAAATGCAGATAATAGCAATATAAAGGGTGAATTTCCATCTTGGATGATGAACCTAACAAATTTAGCTGTCTTGAGCCTATTCCGCAATTTTTTGTCTGGAAAGCTAGACCTTAACATGTTTCTCAAGCTGAAAAATCTTTTTTATCTTGATTTATCATTCAACAAAATCTCATTGTACAATGGCAAAAGTTTATCCCATATGACCAAATCTCGAATTCAAATCTTACAATTGCAGTCATGCAATTTAATTGAGTTTCCAACATTTATAAGATATTCCAGTGATTTACAAATTCTTGACTTGTCAAACAACAGCATAACATCGCTACCTAGTTGGTTGTGGAGAAAGTCAAGTCTACAAATCTTAGATGTTTACGACAATTCATTGACAGGAGAAATATCCCCATCCATATGCAATCTCAAATCTCTCATCCAACTTGAATTAGGATTCAACAGTTTAAGTGGCAATGTTCCCTCATGTATAATTAACTTTACCCCAAATCTACAAGTTTTGACGTTACAAGGAAACAAATTGTCTGGTCTCATTCCTCAAACTTTCCAGATGGAAAATACCCTTAAGATGATTGATTTCAGCAACAACAATCTCCAAGGTCAGTTGCCAAGAGCATTGGTCAACTGTGGAAGTCTAGAGTACTTTGATATTAGCCATAACAATATCAACGATTCTTTTCCATTCTGGTTGGGAGATTTACCTGAATTGAAGGTATTGGCTTTGAGTAACAATGAATTTCATGGAGACATTAGGTGCCCTGACAACATGACATGCACATTTCCAAAGCTTCACATCATTGATCTTTCTCACAATGAGTTCTCTGGAAGTTTTCCATCAGAAATGATCCAGACTTGGAAAACAATGAAAACATCCAACACAAGTCAATTACAATATGACAAATCCTCAATATTCTATTCGTTCTACAAGTCAGGAGGAACTTCGACGACAGAAAGTCTTACTTATTCGTTCAGAATGTCAAACAAAGGGATGGTCATGGTTTATGAGAAGCTTCAAGAGTTTTACAGTATGATAGCCATTGATATGTCAAGCAACAAAATAAGTGGAGAGATACCAAAAGTCATAGGTGACTGGAAGAGTCTTGTTTTGCTTAACTTGTCAAATAACAACCTTATTGGCAGCATACCATCTTCTTTAGGGAAGCTTTCAAACCTTGAAGCACTGGACCTTTCTTTCAACGGTCTTTCAGGAAAAATTCCTCAACAGTTGACACAACTCACCTTTCTAGAGTTTTTGAATGTGTCCTTCAACAATCTCACAGGTCCTATACCACAAAATGAGCAGTTTTCTACATTCCTAGAAAACTCATTTGAGGGAAACCAAGGTTTGTGTGGGGATCAATTGTCAAAGAAGTGTACAGAACATCCGGGGCCTTCTTCCTCTGATGGTGACCATGACTCGGAATCTTTCATTGAAATTGAGTGGAAAGTAAGTTTGATTGGTTATACAGGTGGTCTTGTTGCTGGAGTAGCATTAGGAATCAGTTACAGCTCACAGGTACTTCGGTGGCTTAGAAGAATATTCTGAGATGGAATGATCTGAAAAGGGCTTCTCTTTCTGTTGCATTTTGTTTTCTTTTATTGTGAGTTCCTACTCTGCATATTCAAACATGTTGGTGCATGGTAGTTTTTGTGATTTGTATAAAAGTTAATTGAAATACTTGTAACGTAACAAAAGTGTTTAATATAGCTTAAGTATCAGAAAAATACAGAAAGGGATACAAAGAATATAACTATTCAGTTAAAATCCAATTTAACAACTTATATATGCCTTTTAATAAACTAGTAAATAAACAACTTGAATAAAATATGTAGCTTCAATGAATAAACAAGTTTATAAAAAGCAAAATAACTTAACTGCAATTAATATAATAGTTGAGAAAAATAAAATTGGATATCACAGGTCTGTCCTGCCTCTAGGTAGTCATATTGTAAGTTGGAAGGAAGTTGTTTAAATTCAAATTTTAAGGGGTTTCTCTATGGATGGAACATTACATTGTGCTGTGTTAGCGTATGAGATACTTTTAATGAGGAGAGAAAGAGAAAATAAAAAAAATAAAAATTATATTATCGACTTGAATTGTTTTGTACAAATAATGATACAAACTATGACTATTTATATACAATCCTAATTGGGTTTGAGCTTTCTACCTTAAATTATATTTGATATTATATCTAATATCTCAACGTATCTAATTTGGATTATATTTGATATTATATCTAATATCTCAACATATCTAACTTGGATTATATTTGATATTATATCTAATACCTCAACATACCCCACTATAATCCAAGTCGTCGAACTTACGCTAATCATAGTCAATCTGAACTATTCCTAATTTCTTACTCAAATTCAGGAATATGTCAATCTTCAATCCTTTGGTGAAGATGTCGGTCAACTGTGCTTCACTCGAGCAATGCCTAACTTCAAGTTCACCTCGATTTACCTTTGCCATCAAGAAGTGAAGTCTAGCTTCGATATGCTTACTTCTTCCATGTAGAACTGGATTCTTCGCCAGATTTATGGCAACTACCGATTTGATCCAAATTGCTTGACATGCTGCATAGGATCCTACTATATATTCAGTTTCACACGATGACAATGCCACCACAGGTTGTTTTTTCGAACACCATGAGATCGGGGCACCAAATACTTGAAAGAAATATTCAGTTGTACTTCTTCAATCTTCCTTATCTCCACAACAATCAGCGCCTGAAAAAGAAGTAATTGTTGCTTCTTTGCCTTCAGACTCTCGTCGAAATAGAATTCTATAGTCTATCGATCCTTTTAAGTGTCTCATAATTCTTCTTCCAGCCATCATGTGCGACACTCTTGGTTCACCCATCAACCTGCTCACTAATCCGACTGCGAAACCTATATCAGGTCGACTGTTGCACACATATCTCAAAGATCCCACAATTTGTTTGAACAAAGTTACATCGACTTTGTCTTCTTCTCCATGATTCTCCAACTTCACATTTGGTTCGACATGTGGGGATGCAGGATTCGAATAATTTGTTATGAATCTCTTGAGAGTCTCTTTGACATACTTTCTTTGATGCAACATCATATCTTGCTCCGACATTTGAAATTCTATGCCTAGGAAATAAGACAAATTTCCTATATCCGACATTTCAAATTCCTTTATCATCATCTCTTTGAACTTCGACAAGTTCTTCAAGAAATTTCCAGTTACCAGCAAGTCATCAACATACAAGTAGATGATTTTTATATCTTGTGCTACAACTTGAACATAGACACCATACTCAAACTTTCATTTTACAAATCCCAATTCGACTAAATATGAGTCAATCTTCTTATTTCATGTCCTAGGTGTTTTCTTAAGGCCATAGAGCATTTTGTGCAACTTATATACTTTACTCGCTTCCTTTTAAATTACAAATCTTGGAGATTGTGTGACATAGACCACTTCATCTTAAGGACCATTCAAAAATATTGATTTCACATCAAAATGAAATGTTGACTAGCCTTGATTGCATGCAATGCTACTACTAGTCAAACAGTCTTCGATCTTGCTACTGGAGCAAATACTTCAGAGTAGTCGAGTCCTGCTCTTTGAATAAAACCTTGAGCTACTAACCTTGCTTTATATCTTGCTATCAACCCATCAACATTTTGTTTCAACTTAAACACTTACTTCACTTTGATATCTTTCGTGTATGCTGGAAATTCGACTAACTCCCATGTGTTGTTTCTTTCAATTTCATGCAACTCTTCGACCATAGATAGATTCCACTGTTTAATATTCAAAGCAAAGCTTCACTATAGTTGATTGGTTCAGCACCTTCAAGTAAAGCAAAATGAACTAATTCTCCATCTGATGTTACTTCATCATCACCGGCCACTTCATAGCCTTGAAGTCTTGTTGGGAGAACTCTAGTTCTTTGAGGTCTTTGGCTTGTTCTAACCACACCTTCTTCGAATTCGACAGTGTCGGGAATGCCAGTAACTACTTCTACTTTGACTTTGACTGGATTCTTAGCAATTCCTTTGAATTCATCATTATCTTCGTCGAGATCAGAGCTCGTCAATGGCTTGTTAATTGAACTACTAGAATTCCAATCTCAGGAAGAATTTTCATCAATCACAATATCTCGACTCAGCATAATTTTCTCATTGATTGGATTGAATAACCTGTGTCCACTAGTCTTATGATATCCTACCAGAATTATAGGTTCACTTTTGTCATCAAACTTCCTTCTCCTTGCAGCAGAAACATGCTTGTAACACATAGAACCAAATACCTTCAAATGAATTACTGAAGATCGTTTTCTACTCCATACTTCTTCATGAACCTTCTTCTTCAATACCTTGGTAAGACACTTGTTTAGAATATAAACTGCAGTCGAAATAGCTTCTCCCTATAAATATTTTGGCAAATTCTTCTACTTTACCATGCATCTCGTCATATCCAATATAGTCATGTTTCTTCTTTCTACAATTTCATTGTGTTGAGGTGTATAAGGAGCAATTACCTCATGATTGACACCATGGTCTGCACAAAAATCTTCCAACATCTTAGATGTGTATTCTCCACCTCTATCTGTTCGCTAAAATTTGATCCTCTTCTCACTCTGGTTTTCGATAAGTCTCTTGAATCTCTTAAAGATTTCAAATATTTTGTCCTTTCTCTTGATCACATAGATCCACGACTTTTGACTAAACTCATCGACAAACGAAACAAAATATGTGTTTCCACCAATGGTATGTTCTTCAAATGAACCACATACATCTGAATGTACCACTTTGAGTATGCAGGATGATCTCATTGGCATAGTCAGAAAAAAAAGAATTTCTAAATTGCTTTCTGACTAGACAACTTTCACAGAGTTTGTCGGGTATCTCAAGACTTGGTATGACTTTTGCCATATCTTTAGTAATCATCTAATTGAGTGATCAAAAACTCAAATGTCCAAACCTCAAATGCCACAACCAACTATCCTTGTTGTCGACAACAGTTTTTAGACATTGTACTTCAGTCAAATTGATCATGGTCTTAAATGTCCTATTCTTTGACAGAGGATATTTCAAGACCAAATTATTCTGGGTGTCGAACAATTTTAAAACTCCATCTTTCATGACAATTAAGAAACCTTTTTCGACTAGTTGTTTAACACTTAGCAGGTTGCATTTCATTCTAGGTACATAGAGCACATCTTTGATCATCACTTTCCTTCCATTACTCATTTGAAAAACTATGTTTTTAGTACCTTCTGCTTGTAACAAACTATTATCAGCAGGTTTTACCTTACTTTTCTTCGACTCGTTGAAATCTGCCAACCAAACCTTTTGACCACTCATGTGATTCGAATAGCCTGAGTCGAGGAACCAGATCTTGAATTCGACATGGTTATCTACAACTGCAGTCATAACCACCATACCTTCAGAATCATTTGAATCTTGGCGTGCAAGGTTCTCTCCTTCATGCTTTCTTGTCGATCCCTTATCTTTCCTGTATGAACAATTCTTGTCAAAGTGACCCCACTTTTCACAGTTGTAGCACTACACACCTTTCTTATCTTCTTTGTCCTTTTTGAGGATTCAGAAGCTCTATCTTTGACCTGATGCTTGTGAGGGTTCAACCAAGACTTTTTTCCCTGAGTCTTGTCGACTTTGCCTTTGAATTTATTGGAACCACCATTCCTTTTCCATGACTGAGCTTGCAGTGCCTGTATCGAGTCTTGAACTCCTTTCCTTTCGACAATCCTAATCTCATGCGCTTCTAACAAACCAACCAAATCTTCCAGTTTTAGGGTTTCAAGTTGATTGGATTCTTGAATAGCTACGATAATGTGATCTAAGTGAGAGGTCAACATACGCATTACCTTCTCAACTATCATTTTCTCAGTTATGGTTTCACCACAATCCTTCATGAGATGGAGGAGTTTCTGGTCCTTCGACACATATTTTATAACTTTTTCGTCTTTTCTCATCGATAACAATTTATATTATCGATGCAAGGTCTACAACTTAACAACCTTGACTTTCTCACGTACTTAATAATACTTGACCAAAATATTCCATGTCTCCCTTGCCGTTTCAGTATGAAAGATTTTGTAGAACTTAGAAGCATCGACTTTCGTCTGAATACAATAAGCAGCCTTGCAGTCCTTCTTATTGACTTTGTTGTGGGCAGTTTTCTGTTCTTCGATTGCATTAGCAGCTAGCACAGGAGCGTTGTCGGTAACAACTGTTAGGGTATCATGGAAGCCGAACAAGTATTGCATATGTATTTTCCATCAGATCTAATTTTTTCCATCAAGAATTTGAAGAGAACTCGGAATTCCCTTATCACTAGTCATCTTCGTAGCGGTTGATTCACTTTCCCTGAAAACACAATCTCTGACGTGAAGTTCTTGAAAACACGATCAAGAAAAATAACCGGAAGCTCTGGATACTAATTTGTTAGTGCGTGAGGCAATTTTAGTGAGGAGAGAAAGAGAGAATAAAGGAAATAAGGATTATATTATTGACTTGAATTGAATTGTTTTGTACAAATAATG